TACTACGAAACAGAGCTTTGGATATCAGCAAGTACTTTTTTAGTGTGTCATACAACAGCAAACAGGCCCGGCCTCAGCCTCTCAGCGACTTAGTTTGTTTCCTGCTGTCGCTACATTTTGTCAACAAAAAAAACAACAAGCACAAAAGGCGTAAGGCGATCATCATCAAACAGCGCATGGATTAAGGATCTATTGGATGAGAATGGAGATATGGAAATAATTCACTGAGGTAAGCACTGGCTGTTAATAGAGACTGCAGTTTGGAAGCCGCATTCAACGCGGATCACAGCCAGGTAAGCCTTACCGCTGAATGTGCACATATTCACAGCTGTGTGTCTCCACTGTATAACTCCGCTCTGTTGATGTGGCCATATGGAAATGTGATGCTTTGAAGGAATTGTCTTCCGATCTTTGAGTGTGTTGCAATCAGACGAATGCACTGAGGAAGCTTGAATAAACTGACGGAGAAAATGAGTCAAATAAATGTTGACGTTGAAGGTGTTGAAATGGACTATGGGAAAAGAGAACGCACACTCACTGCGAAGGCATTGGTAAATAACATCGAAAAACTTCAACGGGAACGTAAAACCAGTGTGAACAAAATAAAAGCACTCATACCAGAAATAAAAGGACACATGAGAGAAAGGGGAAATGCCTCACGTGTGCAAACTCATAGAGACTTAGAGAAATTAATTCAACTGGGTGAAAAAGCCATTATTTCACATGAAATGTTGATTCCTTTACTCCCAGAGGATGAACTGAAGAAACAAGAGGAATGGTTTGCCAGTATCTTGGAATACAGTGAAAGCTTTCAGAGAGACATTAAACAGTGGTTAAAAGAGCCACAAGAGGATTTTACCACAATAACTGCTGCTGTGCTGGATATTCCAACAACAGATGACATGCAAGAGGATGTACAACCAAGTGACAGTGTGTCAAACGTGGAAATCGGAAGAAGAGCAGCCCGATCACAAAATTCTGCTTTGGGGAAAAAGTCTGCAACTTCTACTGCTTCGTCTGCATGCCGTAAAACAGAGGCTGAATTGGCAGCTTTAATGGCAAGAAATAAACTATTAAAGGACAAACATGAACTGGAGGAAGAGGAGGAACGAATTAGGAGCAAACTTCAGATGGAGGAGGAACGAATTGGGAGGAGAAAGGAGCAACTTCAGATGGAGGAGGATATTGCAGCACATGTGGCTAAATTAGATGTGTTGCAAACAGGGAGCATCCTAAGTGGGAAAAGTTCAAAAACAAGGCATTCGGATGGAATGAACTCTTACATCGAACAAAGAAACATTAAACCACAAGTCCTCTACACTGCTAAGGACAATATAAATGCTCCACAAATGTTGCTAAACCAAAGGGAGGCTAGCAATGACTTATTGGAGCCAACAACACAGCCTAATAAGAACATTTCACCTTGGTTCCTTTCCTCAGAGCCAGTATCCCAGAAAAAATCCACTTTGAAAACACAAATGAATTATGGAGATAGCTTGAACGCAAGTGAAGATCAAAACGACATACTGGGCATTATGAGAAAACAAAATGAAATAACCACACTGTTAATACAACAGCAATGCCTTTCATCCTTGCCAAAGAGAGAGATTCCAGTTTTTGATGGCGCCCCGTTAAAATATCACACATTTATGAAGGCTTTTGAGAATGGTGTTGAGAAAAACACAAACGGCTCCAGTGACCGACTCTACTTTCTGGAGCAGTACACTCGGGGTCATCCCAAAGGAATTGTTCGAAGTTGCCAGCACATGGATCCAGAGAGGGGATACATCAAGGCTAAAGCTCTAATCCAGGAGCAGTTTGGAAATGAGCAGAAAGTGGCATCTGCTTATTTGCAAAAGGCTCTTTCATGGCCTCCTATAAGAACAGACGATGTTAAGGCTCTGCAAGACTACAGCTTCTTCCTTAGAGCGTGTGCAAACGCAATGGAAGAGGTGCAGTATTTGCATGAGCTTGACATGGCTGCGAATATGATGATCATAATAAGAAAGTTACCTTACCATTTCAGAGACAAGTGGAGAACGTTAGCCGGTGAGCTGCAGGAGAGGAACAGCCGCAGAGCAACATTCTTTGACATCACACACTTCATTGAGAAACAAGTTAAAATCTTAACCGACCCAGTATTTGGAAACATTCAAGATGCTCCCTTCATAACAACAAATGCTGCTTTAAACAGATCACAGCCTCGCTCACATTTCGTAGGAACTAGCTTTGCCACCACTGTAGCTCTTGTAGAAAAGGAAACTCAGACAGATACTGAAGGGAAGGAACACATTCTGACAAAATGGAGGACATGTCTGTGCTGTGGAGGAGGTCACACCTTGGACTCGTGCCATCAGCTTGAAAAAGGAACACACAAAGAGAAGATGGGCTTCTTGATGGAAAAAGGTGTATGGCTGTTTGTGCGTGGGGCACATTAGCAGAAATTGCAATAAGCGAATTTCCTGTTCAAAATGTGGCTTCAAACATCCAACCATACTTCACATCCCTTCCAATGAAGCAAGACACAATCCTGCTCAAGCCAAGAATACATCGGAGCTATCAGTGGACAGCACACTGGTTTCAAGTGGCCTTACAGGGGCTGGTGATGACAATTGTAAACTTCCCATAGTTCCAGTGCAAGTCAAGTCAACAAAGGGCAGCAAGATTGTCACCACCTATGCTTTCTTGGACCCAGGAAGTACAGCAGTGTTTTGTAAAGAGGATTTGATGCACGAGCTCGGCCTAACTGGAAAGAAGGCGCAGATTAGTTTACGAACCATGGGCCAAGAAAGGGTCGTAAATAGCCATATTGTGTTCGGACTAGAAGTGGCTGGCTTAAAAAATGACAATTTCTTTGAACTGCCACAACGCTACACCCAAGAGTGCATGCCTGCCAGCAGTGGGAACATTCCTAGACAAGCGGACCTACAGAGATGGCCTCATCTGAAAAATGTTAATTTGCCTGAAATAAATGCAGGGATTGGACTGTTGATAGGAACCAATGTTGCTAAGGCCTTGGAACCATTGGAAGTCATATGCAGTGTGGATGACGGACCCTATGCAAGCAGGACAATCCTGGGCTGGACAGTGAATGGACCACTTAAAGGAGTGAGTGGGAATGCAATGGACTTTGACAAACCAGAAGTATCTGTGAACAGAATCTCAGTTGTGAATTTGGATGGACCTTGGCAACAGCAGTTCAGCGCAGACTTCCCTGAATGCAGATTGGAGGAACAAGCTGGAATGTCAAGAGAGGATCTCAAGTTTAAGAAGTTTGCAAAGAGTGTTTTTTCAGCAAGAGTCGAAGAGGAAGTGTAAAAATAAAAGTTTTAAAGATGAGAAGAAGCCTCATCTCAAATCCCAACAAAAGCCCTCTCCTTCAACGGCTGCTCAGAAAGGCCCCCGCTGCAAACAAAGAAATGGAGAACAGGATGAAGTGGACCAACGTGCTCTACAAGGCCGAAGGACTCAAAAACGACGAGGACATGCTGAGCTCCTCGTTAAAGGAGTGGGGCGATCAAAGCGAGAATATCGTGGAGAAGATGCAGAAACGGCAGGAATAGACGGAAGAACATCCGACATCAGTGACATCTTTTCCACAGTATTGACTCTTTTCGACTGACGGACTTAAATGACACTAAGGATTATCTTTGACTGAGCCAAGGTGGTGGTACCTTTTGGCCTAACTGACTTGTGACTCGTACACAGAAAAGAAGAAGGAAAACTACACATACATGAACTGCAACTGCATGGACTTGATTACTAAGTTATAATTGTCACATGTCTCCCATTTGAATTGTTAGTAATTATTATGTATACTATCCTAATAATTAGAGGCTGGTGTGTAGGAACCATGATTGCTGTTGATTGGTTGGCTTGGGTCACATGGGTATGGGTGGCACTCATTATAATCCTGTTCACCTGTGTGAGTGTGTGGAAGAGAGGGTGACACGGGGCCGTTGTACTTTTTTGTTGAGCGCAAGATTACAATTGCTTCGATTATAACAATGTATATGTCTGAGAACAGAGTTTTTTCATTAAACTACAATACTACGAAACAGAGCTTTGGATATCAGCAAGTACTTTTTTAGCGTGTCATACAACAGCAAACCGGCCCGGCCTCAGCCTCTCAGCGACTTAGTTTGTTTCCTGCTGTCGCTACAGTTACTTTGCAAATTGAGATTAATATTACAAAATATAAATCACCAAATAAATTAGGCCTGTTATATTTCAATACAAATTAAGCTATTCAACAATATATATATACTGTACATGAGTTAAAATGATGTTTCTCATAATGCCTGTCTTGCAGCACCTCTTTTCAACCTCTGTCTGAAACCAGAGCCCAGTCTGCTCTGATTGGTTAGCTGGCCGACTCTCTTGTGATTGGTCAACCGCTTAGAGATGTCCTGCCCCTTAGCCTATAACATACAATGTGTTGAAGCGCAAACCAATAGAAGCAGAAGTGTTACATAGTGAAACATGTAAATATGAAAAACCTATATAACACACTATAGGAAAGGCATAATAGAGTCCCTTTAAGTTTGCAAGGTCTGAGTAATTCCTGCCCTCTCGACAGTAGTTCACAGTTTGCTGTGATACACGGTACAGTGCTCACAGCTCAATACAGAAAGTTTGGATTAAAACTAACTACAGGAACAGAAGTAACCACGTTGGACTTTTTCCAAATAACTAACTTGGAAAATTACTGTGCCAATATTTTAATTGCTTTGAGCCCTCTGACAGTATACACAATGTTGATTTATGTAATTCTACTGATCCTGCCAACAAAAACGAGAGATGGCAAAAAATAATGTCTTAATTGGTTAACAATCCCCGCATTGTCACAGATTTTGTGACATATTGTCACAATATTTAGTTTTACGCCTGGCACAAAGCTCCATGAAGAAGTTAATCTGTCACATTTGTTACAAACGCCTGCATCTTATTACGTACAATAAATCCTGAATGACCAAGTCTAATCTTCCCATTTCATGCAGGTTGCTTCCTGTTCTGCTGGACTCCGTTCTTCGTGGTGCACACGACGCGAGCCATCTGTCTGACTTGTGACATCCCTCCCGCTCTGATGAGCACCGTCACCTGGCTGGGCTACGTCAACAGCGCTCTAAACCCCATCATCTACACCATCTTTAACACAGAGTTCAAGAAATTCTTTAAGAAGTGTTTCCAAATTTCCCTCCGAAGACGCTAAAGGAAGGAACTGGGAGGTGATAAGGGATTAGAAAGTGCGAGGCTAACAGTTGGACCGTCAACTCATTACTGGGCTGCCAGCTGGACGTGGATTGTCGATTTGGCCGACAGTTTAAAAAAAAAAAACTCTTTAACACCGTTTCTGATGATGTTTATTACATTTTACATTCCATTTTATCATTTGGTAAAGTACTTTCGTGATCCTCTGGGATTACTTCCAAAACTAAATGATGACCTTTGGGGCGTAACGCTGCAGTTAAACATGTGAACCGACTCAGAAAATTGTCTGAGGGGAGCTAATCACCATTTCCAGTCTGTCCGCAAAGCCCTTCTTTATCGTTTATCAGCCCTGGATAAAGTTATGGTCTGCCAGCTCCAGTTAACTACATGGGATTTGTACAGAGCCTGGTCTGCCTGAAGGGATCATCAGGGCGAAAACTGTCCCCAGGAGCCCAAATAAGCTTCAACAGACCAGCTAAAAGCAGCTACACAAGTAAATATCCTTTAAGAACGGCCAATGATTTGTACACTAAAATAAACACTTGGGAAATACGCTTTCTTGCTGAGAGTTGGATGAGATGATCGATAGCTCTCTCATGTCTCTGTAATATGAAGCTACAGTAAGCAGCTGATTGGCTTAGCTTGGCCAAAGGACTGGAGATAAATGAAACAGATTGTGTCAATTGCTTACCAACACCTCTCAGGCCTAACATGTTCAATCTTTAATTGAATCTTTAGTTAAATCATATTAAACTTCTTTTTTTTTTAAATGTGTAGTTTTACAGAGGGTAAAACATTCACATTCGGATTCTTAATACACATTTGAATGCTTTTTTGTACTTTTCTTTGCATATTGATCCTGTTAAAACCCAGTATTTCAACAGGGATTTCATATATAATATATTTAAGATTTGATTCCAGCCGTGCCTCTGTAGGAATGTTTCTAACTTGTGTGATCCAAACTGATCCACACACACAACAACAAAAATTTAAAACGAAAATGTCCAAACATCAATTCAGGCTTAAAATGTAATAAAACACAAGACATGGACTACTTCTTGGGTTGAGGTAGTAACTTAGTAGAAACTAGTGAAGACTCCAGGGTAGCCGTTTCCTAGTCTCCAGTCTTTATGCTTCGCTAAGCTATCTGTCTCCTTGCTGTCGGACAGTGGTATCAAAAGTCTTATCCAGCTCTTGGCAAGACAAAGAAAAAGAGGAATTCTTCAAATGTTCTGTTTCTGAACTAAACATTTACATCAGTTTTCATGGTACTGTCCAAAGTCTGGAGAGAAGAACATTATTTTTGGGAAACGCCCAAAGAAGAAAGCTGGTCAAAGAAATGTGCTAACACTACGCTTCATCAACAAAATATCTACCAGGAATCTGAAGTGTGACATAAAGAGGTATGAGAGAGGTGGAGTTTCCCTTCAGAGGACTTAAAGGTCAGCTTCATCCAGACAACTGACACTTCCCTATCTTGGATCACTGACTGTCTGAGTGTTGAATCGGTAAAATGGTTTATAATGGGGAACATGGCACAGTTTGAACCCGCTCACCATAACTTTTTCTAGTAATTTGAACATTGTGTTTTCATGAAAAGAAACATTCATACAATATTAAGTAGCATCATGCCTTAACATTCATTGAATGATTTTTTTAGTCTTGTCATAACAGAAGAGAAACTCTTCAGAGGAGTTCATGGGATTAATATATCTCCTTTCTGTTTTATATTTAAACTCCTTCTCAGTGAACCTTGAGTTACACTCATCAACACAGAGGCTGAGGAGTCCCTTTGTTTCAACTATTTCCTCACTTAGCAAAAAGGAAAGTTTATCTACCCACTAATTGTTTTACTATGGCAGTTAACTCCTGCCACCATAACACAAAAAAATAAATACTAAAACAGGTTATGGTTCATTATTTTCATGTTCAACATATACTTCTCATTATTGCCACATGTGAAATTGTGATGCAGCTTTCTGTACGTTTAAGACCTTTATCATTGCTACAGAAAATCTACTCAAAACATTTGAATAACATCAAACTTATCTTGCTTAACAACCTGGTCTTATTGTATTGAAATGAAAAGAAAAATGGTGTTGTCATGATAACACTTTTCCTTTTTTAAAAGGAAACATTTATTATGTCTACCAACAGCAATGTTTAATTCAAAACACATTTTTTTCAACAAAATCATTTGGTATGTAGTAATTGCGAGAAATAGATGTCCTTGTAATTTATATATGTTGTGGCAAGGATGTTGGTCAAATAACATACTAAACGAGAAAGTGTTTCAAAATATTTGTTGTCATGGTGACACTAATTTCCAATTTTGAGTCATCTCATTTCCTTTTGCTACGTAAATACATAGCATAATATTACAGTACGTGTGTAAAATCAGCTACACTGTTGACAAATTAATTGTATTTGTTTACTAAGTGATGATGAATATCAGATAGTTTGCTTTCTAATGTTTACATGATAATAAATGAAATGTTTAAGTTGCTATAATGTACAAAACAAAATGTAAGTGAAGCATTTCCAGATTGTGTCTTCATAACACTGCAAATTAGAGTCATTATATCCTTGTGTAAAGTTTTGTAAAAAAAGTGGTTCTGTTTTTAAATGGAAAATATCCCGGGTGGCAGGCTGGCTTAAATTGAAGCCATTGCTGCCTGTCACCACAGTTTGTAGTTTGGTTACTGACTGTGCCTATTGTCTGCCATATCCACGTTTTATGTGGAGACCTTTCAAATAAATGGTGTCATCTTTATAAATGTTCCAGTGGCCTTCGGCTGTAATGTCGTCAGCTCTGTTGGAGGTCGATGTTGTCAAACTATCTTGTCTTTTTATCCGAGATAACTTCATGTGCCAGACGGCATCACGCTGAGCAAACAGACCTTTCATTTAACATTTTGGATGAGCCACATTCCGATGCCAATTTTAAAACTACATTTATCGCATGGACGGACTGAGACAATAAGCCCCTGGACACAAGCAACGGGCCCAACGTTTCTACATACTGTACACAAAACATGACGTGGCTGCATCGTTTTTAACAATGTAGTTGTTTTGGGTCTCATTGTGGTCATTGTGCTTTCTTTTTTAGACCTTTTAGGTCTCATTCTGCTCGTTTTGCATCACTTTTAAGATATTTTGGGTTCAATTCTGGTCATTCTGCGTCTCATTCTGATGGTTTTGTGTGCCTTGGTTGTTATTTTGCTTCTTTTCCTGATCGCTTTATGTATTTGTAGTCTTTTTGTCTCTCTTTGAAGTACTTTTTTGTATCTAACTGTTTAGTGTCTCTTGCAAATGTGATTCCTGCTTTGACCAGTGGATCTCATAGTCAACCCAATTCCAACTGGAGGCACATTCAAAAGCATAAGAAGAAGAAAAAACTAAACTAAAAAAATAAGTGAAATGTACAGATATTAACTTTTGCTTTAGTACTCGAGTCACTTCAAGAAGAACATAGAAAGAGACAAGTTCCCTTGCAGACGATGATATCATGCAGTGATAAAATACACTTTTTCTTATCATGGACGTCAGCAGCAGCAGCAGCAGCGGTGGGGGGAAGAGAGGTGAAAATTGGAGCAAGGTGTGAAAGTTGTCTTGAAAAAAACTGAAGCAGGTGTGGAGTTTAATCAAATCTGTTAAAGTCTGCATGACTACAGAACCCCAAAGAACAGGAGGTGAGTGAAGAAGAGTAAGTGACTTTCTCAACCAGAATAACTCACATTTAATTCATGTCACACTTAGTCATGTCATGTGAGACATCTTGGGAAAAGTTGATGCTATACATAGACATTATTATCCAGGCTTTGATCATATTTGGGATATAGTATGTACATGACACATGAGGCACCTGGGTGACAATATCATAGTGAGGTTAATGATCGTCTGCATCAGAGCATTGTAGTTTGTATTTGAAACGTACACATCCAGCAAATCTGTCATTCGTGTATCGACTCAGCTGACTGGCTGTCTGGATTCCACTTCTCCATCCTATCTTTAGTGAATCTTTTGCTCTAATGTTCAAAAAGATCTTTATTGCTCTCATACTGCCTGTGCTGCAGCACCTCTTTTCACCCTCTGTCTGAAACCAGTGCCCAGTCTGCTCTGATTGGTTAGCTGGCCGGCTCTGTTATGATTCGTCAACCACTTAGAGATGTCCCGCCCCTTAGCCTGGACAATGTTTTGGATCGCTAGCCAATAGAAACGCGAGTGTCACATAGTGATGTCACTATGTTACGGAAGTAAACAAAGGAGTCCAATGGAGTCCAATGGAGGCGTTTCAGGTGGGGGGGTGTGTTGGAGAGAAACTCCCTCTGGCATTGACTTTGGTATTTCAGCCTTTGCAGACCATTTACATGCACACAAACCTATATGACACACTACAGGAAAGGGAAAACCCCTAAGTCTGAGCTAATATAGACTTGTATAATGTAGGCTATCAATGTGCAATCATAAGCATCCAACTAGGCCAACAGGAGGTCACTGTAGCATCCAAGCTGTTGGAAAATAACAGTTTTAGGATGCCACACAATATCTTACAATAAACAGCCAATACTTTATAAATGCAGGTATGACTTTTTTAATTCATGCATTAATAAAGAAGTTTTAGTGTGCAGTACATAATGCAGTGTGTACAGTGATAGGCACTTATCATAATATGATAACCCAACTGACGTCATTTGATCGTTTACAAATGAAAGGTTTTATTTCCGCTGACATTTGTTGCTCTGTTTCAGTTTAATTAAGATATTGTAAACCATACTAGAGATTTACTCACTACAATATCCTCCCCTTTATCAGTATTATAAAACCAACTGCCACTTGAATTCAAATTGAAACAGTGATCTTTGTCACACCAAAGGCAGTCCTCTGGCTCCCTCTGCAGGTTATAATACTATCAAATCCCACGAAAGGACCAACATATATCTTCTATCTCCGTGCTATAGAGCTCCATTCTTGTCCGAAATCCATTAAAAACACCTCAGCACCAAATGTGAATTATTCCAAAAAGTGATTCCAGTTGGATGAATTAACCTTATTCAAACAACGGCCATTAACAAGGTTGTTTCTTACTCAAGAAATGTCGTATTTCTTTCAGCTGCACAGTATATTATATTGCACATATACACCGAGTTTGATATTTCCGTGGTTTGATCATAGCTGCATGTCACTTACCTGTGTTCTGTTATATATCAAATAAGAGAGACATTTTTGCATTTCCATTGAAGCAGTTCCTTATATGAAAGTCTGTGAGTTTCGATTCATATAACCAAACATCAAACAAGTATGAGCACATGAGCCCCAGTAAGAAAATAAGTCTGGGTTTAGTCCTGCAGTGTTGGTGTTTTCGTTACAGCGAGTGCAGATAATAAAGTCAAACCTCCAACTTGATGCGGTGAATTCGTCACTCTTCTGTCTTTGTTGCAGCCTGCAGATAAAAGTACACACAACAACATCAAAGTGGCTCCTGTTTGAAACTTTACAAGTAATCACTCATACTGCAAAAAATGTACCCATAGCTGGTTTGCTTTGGTTACAGTCAAACTATTTCTGTTTTTACTTTTAAAAGGATTGGGCCGCACGCATAACACACAACTAAAGGTACATGGCCAAAGACACTAAATGTTGATAAAGACAGGTAATGTACACTTAGCTCTATGACAGTGTTTAATAAAAAGCTAGTTCTTAGTGATACATTAAATATTGATATAAATATTAAATGAAATTATCCTTTGTAATGTAAAAGAGGTCACAAAGAGATGTATCACTTAACTTATTCAGCTCATTGTTTTTCTTTTTTAAGGCCTCAACTTGAATTGCTATTTGATTTAACATACATGGACCTGAGTGCAGAGCCACAACAACTGGGGACGTAAAAAAGTGTGAGCTTGTAAGCAAAAAATCATAACTCACTTTCTCGGCAGCAGCGGCCATCAGAGCTTCCAGCTCCTGAGTCCAGCCGAGGGCCTGCACCAGGGCTTGCACACCGCTGACCACGTCGCCCAGCTGCACCACATCATGAGGACTGCAGCGCCCGGCGAACGGACCCACCCGGTCCCTGTTGATGAGCAGACGGGGCACAGAGGGACGCACAGTCCCCGCCAGACTGGCAAAGGGCTCCACCTGCAGCGCAGAGAGTCAAACAGCAGCTTTTAAAGCAAGAGGACTTGTTGTTGTAAGATGCCGGACAAATATCATTTTAGGGGGTATTTTTTCTTTATTCATGGTGATGATGCAGACAGAAAAACAGAGTGAAGCAAAGTTATTACAACCAAGAATCTCAACAACATAAAGTACAACTATTTGACTTTTAACATAAAACCCTGTCCCTCTTATCATATAAAAACATATTGCAAAAATGACAACAAAGACCTATTCTTTGATAAAACATTGTTTTACATATTTTGTATACGAAAAGGTTTCCTGGTGGCCCACTGGGATTTATTTATTTTTTAACCTGAACTTTGAAATCTGGACACAAGAAAGAAATGATTTTGCGTGAAGTACAACTGTCAGTTTCAATGTTTGTTCTCCAGTGTTGAACCTGTCCCTCACTTATGTCCCTTCAACATATTGTTTATACTAGGAAAATGTCAGATTACAGAGTACAGATGTAGTTTAAAATCTGTGGCGCTCACCTCCAGTGATGTTCCCATGACGATCAAGAGGTCTGCCAGTGGGAAATCTGTGAGATACTTGAAGAAGTTAAACGGAAGCTCCTCCCCGAAAAACACAATGTCGGGCTTCACCACGCCTTTACAGGTGGGGCACTTCGGCACGACACCTGACATCACATCTGACTGAGGAAACACGGAAACAAGATGGAAAGTGAATAATAATTACATTACAAATCAAAAATCCTAGTAAAACTGCAAAAAAAATAAGGAAAACAAGACATTACTAAGATTTGGAAACACCTCATGTTTGTAACTTAAACTTACAAAACGTGACTGATCTTCAAAACATCATTATAACACCTTATCTGATGTGAAGAACTGGTTAAAGAAAGAAGACTTTATTTATTTTTAAAGGACATCTATGTGAAGATATGATAACATGAGTAGACATCATAGGATCAAACACTTGTTGAACAGTAAATAAACAAATACATGCACAAATGATCAACAGTGTCTGCAGAACTCCCAACAGTTTACCAACAATTCAATTTAACAGAAAGATTTCACTTTGCGCTAAATATTCACGTGGCTAAAATCATTACATTTATTTTAAATATTCTTAAAAATATAAAAGCTAAATGTGTAGAATGAGTGTTTGGGTTTAAACTCACCCGTAACTCGCCTCCTTTGTATTTCCTCAGGCAGACCGTGCAGGTGGCGGTGGCAAAAGTACCGTGAGCCTCCACCAACATCTCAGGAGGAATCCCTGCCACTTGAAACACAGTTAAACAAACATATAGTCTTCAAATGACCAATGATGTGCAGTTATTTCTTTATATGATCAAAAACAAAACAGCAAAATAATTTAAACACATACGCCTCTCCAGCCCGTCGATGTTCTGGGTGTACATCCTGAGGAGCTGACCCTTCTTGTGAAGCAGCCGTACAAAGTGATGGGTCAGATTGGGCTGATAATTCCCTGGGTACAGCTCTTTGGCCAGGGCGAAGAAGGGGTTTGGGTTTTGATGGAAAAAGCCTAACTCGAATATCGCCTCGGCGTAAGGCAGGTCATACTGCTGCAGATTGTTGTAGAGACCGCTGCCTGGAGACCTGTGAGAGGGTTATCTTCTGAATACACCTGATATTAATAGGTTTATCTCAATACTGGAAAACATGTCTAATTGTTTTACCTGAAATCTGGGATGCCACTAGGTGTGCTGATCCCAGCTCCAGCCATCACCACCACCCTCTTGTACTGCTGCTCTCTGATGTTCTGGGCCAGGTCCTCCAGGGTCTGCTGCTCCTCGGAGGCACCTTCACCACCACTACCCCGGGAGAGAAACCCTCGAGTCCCATTCCACCAGAGAGAGTTTGTTTGTCTATGAAGAAGCAAAACAAAGATGAGGAGAGTTGTTGATCAAGAATTTTTAATATGATACACATTAGTAAGAGCAGATGGATCCTGATCGGTTTGCAGCAACCCTGGACCACACTGACCCACTATAATCCCTCTTGTATTCCCACCACTCCAATCATGCTTTTTGGGGTTTTCCCTATCCTGTAGTATGCTATATAGGTTTTTGTGCATGTACATGGTCTGCAAAGGCTAAAATCCCAAAGTTCCCTCCATAGAGAGTTTCTCTGAAAATTAGCATTTTACCCTTTTAGTTTTTGGATCATATCCTTCGTCATTGTGTTTCATTAACCATTATCTCAAGTGTTATACTTGAATTACTTATTTACAAAAAATATGTGTTGCAAATAGGTTGCAACACATATTTATATTTCACAAAGGGCAATGTTTTGTGTTTTTTGTTACTATTATGGAAAAACATGTGCATGAAATACCTGCACAGAGCTGATGATGCACCTGCACCAGGGCACCAACTCCTTTGACACAAAACTACATGAAAAAAAAGCATTGTCACAATTAATAATCATAGAATACTTCCTATTATTTTATCATAAAGTTGTGATACTAACAACTACTAAGGTGTGTACTAAGGTAGTACTCTATGGTTTTCCACCAACCGTGTTTAGAGAGCGTCCTGCTCGTTCTTGAGCACAGGTGCACACAGAAGAGTCTGACAGGTGATATTAATGAGGAGCTCGCTAAAGCCATAACACAAACTTAACAGCTCCCAGAGTGTTACTCCATGACTGCAACTGACTCAAGAGGATACCTACAAACAGAAAAGAGCTGTCAACACAGTGTCTCCACCTAAAACAAAACATTTAACTAATGCTAGCTGCCTACCCAAAATAATGCTTGTTGTCGTCCTTTGACCTCCTTGTGACTCGGACGTGAGTAACCTTAATGTACATGTAGAGTAGCTAACTTTATTTACACAAAACAGCACGGTCGCTTTCTATCAAGCCAAATCACCTACTTCCTTTAACAATTAAAAAAAGAAATAACTGTGCGAAACATGTACAAAGTGTTTTGCTAACAAAAAAATCCCCTTTTAATGTCCAAACAAATCTTAGCTAATGTTAGCTAGCTTTAGAAACGCCTCCTTAATTTCCCATCATCCTTTGCGCCCAGCAGCAGACCCACAACACGACTGGCTACTAACGTTAGCCGAAGATTCAGCAAAACCCATCAGTTCAGATTTTAAATAAATACTTTAGAGTCTTGTTTCCACTATGAGAGATGTTAGCGGGTTCCTCAAACAGCAACAGAGCAACAGCTCCACGCCGGAGATGGCGACGGAGTGGCACACATTGGAGGAGTTTCACAACAAAAGGTAAAACGAGTAATACTGCAGCTAGTCCTGCTAACGCTAGGCTAGCTAACGTTAGCTCCCTCATTCATTGTAAATGCCCGCTGAGTCATGCACAGAGCTAGCAGTAGCTCAGGGTTGGCTTGCTCGCTGAACGTTTCTTCAATAATATCAAAGCTGAAACTCGGTTTTTAATGTTTCATTTGTTTAACACTTCATTCGGTGACGAATATATAACTTAACGGTTAAAAGCTTTAGACCCAAACTATTGATTTAGGCCAGTACTAGATTAAAGTTAATAACATGTTTTTCTTAGCTGTTTGCTAGCGGGGATACTATGGATGAGTCCTTAGTCACTGCTCCATCTGAATATCATAACTTCAATGTAGTGCTGTTTGATCATACATATCACCGTGAAGGTTTGAAAATCATGACGTTTAAAGGAATCGTCTACAGATTTCTGTTTGTCAAATACATTTAAAAAGCTTACTTGGCTTGACAAACAGTCCAGCAACCTGGAAGTTGGAGACACAGATATTAGAAACCTTTCATGTTATACTGTGTCAGAAGAAGTATACAAATCATGTAATGAATTTAAAGACGATTGTAGTATGTGTGTAATTTTAAAAGTGATTCTCAATCAGTTATCTGAACTTTTTTTGACAGATTGTGGCATCAGTTGACTCTCAGGCTGTCAGACTTTGTTAAAGATCCTTGCTTTGATACCGGAGATGGCCTCATACAGGTAACTGCATACTCACATCCTATGATAGACTACCACGAGATATGAGTTGGGATGTACATTACATCAGTATGCACTTGTATGTCAAAGTGTCATAGCATGTATTGTGAAATATTTAAAATCAGTATCATGATAGATTGAAAGGTGCCTACGATATGACAATCAAGTTATGTTTGAATAAGGGTTTTAGACCGAATCGTTCAAGCATTATTGTTTTGTAATTTGATATATTTTTTATTGTTTATTTATTTTCATAAATATCCCATTAGCTGCCGTTTTATGTCTGAGTTGCAAAAGATAAATTCAGAACCCGTATAACTTGAAGCCTTGGCACTGATTAAAATACAGACATACAAGCATGTAAAACATTGGACTATATACACTTTCCTTGTTCCTTCTTCATGATAAACTGTAATGTAAATTATTATTTGTTGCCTCTATAACAAGATGGATATTTTTCTATGATCTGATCGTTCCTTTTTTCCTTTTTAAAGCTCTATGACAACTTCATTAGTGACTTTGAACACAGGTGAGAAAAAGTATATCTAACTCTTATTCTAGTCATTATTACCTTCTAGTTAAATATGCTCCGACATTTGCCTGTTTCGATGCTAATCTGTGTTTTGCTTTCTCATCAGAATCAACCCATTGTCCCTCATGGAGATGATACTGTATGTTATCAGACAGATGAAAGGTACAACATAACGTAACAGGCAAACGGATATATTTCCTAGCAAAAAAATACTTTTCTTTCTTATCTTAGTATTAACAAAAATGTTTTTGTTTCCAGATCCTAATGATGCCATCACCTTTCTCGAAAAGACCCGGGAAAAGGTGAGTTGATAACAACTTCAAACATTTAGAAAAAGGACTGTTAATGGTGGAATTGAACAAAAAACTTAAACATGTCTCTTTCTGTTTCAGGTGAAAAGCAGCGATGAAGCCGCCATTCTCTGCAGGACTTCTATCGGCAGACTTAAGCTGGAGATCAACGATCTTCCTGCCACAAAGGTAAAAGCTCCAAAACTCTGTTCTCTCCCAGATGCAAAACAAATCTCACACCTCATTCACATATAACCCGTTATTGCGCATATTCAACGCCAAGCTGCTGGTAAGGTGCCTGTGTGATGTGTCGGTAACACCGTTAAACAAAGCAACAGCATCAAAGTCACACATCCACAAGTCATTATTTTTCTTACTGAATTAACTTGAGAGAGGTGGCAAACACAGACACTAATAAAGCAGGGAAAAAAACAGATGCAGATTTGATGTGACCCGGGATTAAAAGAATCCTTATGGAATCAGTACTATGAATCCACAGAACCCTGAGTTGAAATAAGAACAAGTCTGATCCTTATTATAAAGGACTTGGTACAAATGACATGCTGGATGATGGTATTATTTCTAAGTAGCCTAACATTTCAAAGGGAAAAATAATACATGGCTTGCAAAACAGAAGCATGTTCTAATCAAAGGGAGTACAAAAGAAACATTTAGTTGAATTCTTCTTTGACACTGTTTAAAACAGAAAGTTTACAAATATTCCGTGGCAGACTTATTAACCCATTGTTTAAACTGCTCCTTAGTCAATCAAATATAAATACAAAATCTCATTGTTGTATGTAGCACTTCAAAGTTTAGCTTATCTGAAGCTTTTTTGCTTTTCAGTATTATAAATAAAGATAAAATAATTAGCTAAATGAAAGTATAAGAAATAGGATCCACAATAAGCACACATTCCCTCTTTGTCGCTGCACGTCCAGAAACTCATTGAAGAGGTCGAGGGAATGTTGAACAACTTGCCCGGGGTGACGTCGGTCCACGGACGGTTTTACGATCTCTCCAGCAAATACTACCGCATCATCGGGAACCACGCCTCCTACTACAAGGACGCTCTGCGCTACCTCGGATGTGTGGAAATTAAAGACCTGCCAGGTGAGCACCATCAAACACCTAGACTTGTTTTAAGGCTGAAGGAGAACAGAAAGTATTTTGTGTGGCTGGCCGATCTAATGCTGCTGTTGTTTGCTCCACAGAGACGGAGAAGCAGGAACGGGCGTTCACACTTGGGCTGGCTGGACTCTTAGGAGAAGGAGTTTACAACTTCGGAGAGCTTGTGGGTTTTAACACAGTATTCATCATGTGGTTTATTAGCGCTGTTGAGCTCTTGTTGACGATTGCTGTTGTGTTCTTGCAGCTGATGCATCCTGTACTGGAGACCCTGAGGAACACAGACAAACAGTGGCTCATCGATACACTGTACGCCTTCAACGGAGGAAATGTGGAGAAGTTCCAGAGCTTCAAGTCTGCCTGGGGCCAACAGGTGATTAACATTATTATAACAGCTCAACAGATTCATTTAGGATCATCAACTCAAATAGATGTCAATCTAGCATTTAAATAAGCCTCTGTTTGAGGGGTGCATGCAGTTTGAAGGTGCAGATGGGTGACGCTTAAAAGCAGACCTTCCCTTGTACGCAGTTTCAGTTGCCTTTTTACAAACATTCTCAAAATCTCTAGAGGGATGTAATGCCAATCTTCCATAAAATGTTCCTGCTTCTTTTTTCTTCAAAAGTACAGTTGGGTGAACATCTGTTGACTGTCAAGCATTTTGTTTTGTATTCTTGATTGGTGAGATAAGCCTGTTTTAGCGCCGTAACTGTGTATGTAGCAGCTCGGATCAAAACCCCTTCAATAAGTAATTGAGCCAAGTTGGACACATGTCAACCTTCATGATACCATCAGTATGAAGGCCGACTCATAGCCCAGGACCGGGTCAAAGGATTATACATGATCCATGGTACTGGGCAACTGTCTGATTTATTTTCTTGTTTTGTTCCCAGCCTGACCTTGCAGCACATGAGGCTAAACTGATGCAGAAGATCCAGCTGCTCTGCGTGATGGAGGTGAGACTGAAAACCAGTTAGACTTTATTTTTAATGGATCAATGCATTCACATGAATTAAACGCATGCAAAGGATTCATCTTGGAAATACAAATGTGTGCCATTGATCAATTACAAACTTTAGAATTTTTTAAAAACAGGACGAGCCCACATTAATAAACATATCCACATTAGACATGGATTGCAATGAGTCGGTGAGAGGGCAATGAACTGACTCGGCTAACTAGTCACACACTACCCCAGGCTCTGTCACCAAGATTTCAGTGATATTTTAAGTGACCCTTATTTGATTTTCGCTGCGCCTCTTCCTGGTCTGACTACGGAATAATCGCTCTCTTAGATAGTCTGATGGTCACACAGATAATAAACACTGACTAACTCAATCTGTAGTTTGTTCAAAGAGTCGTCATGTTTTCGTACATGTCTCATGTGACCGAAGTGATGTCACAGTGAAGGTTGAAAAACAGGAATATTAAATCACTTCAAACGTGTCCTTTCTTTTCCAGATGACATTCACTCGTCCTGCAAACCACAGACAGCTCACCTTCACCGAGATCTCTGAGAGTGCCATAATCCCCATCAATGAGGTGAGTCGGATGACGAGTACATTTAATCAGCCCATCGATATATGTCGATAAGGCCACGATCCAACTTAATACAGTTTGTCAATTTCACCAACCCCGGAGACCCAAGAAGTTTTCACATTTGTTTTTATCGACATGAAAATGTACTTATTTGCGAGTATTGAAGTAAAGTGAACTGATGGGGCGTCTCCTGCAGGTGGAGCTGCTGGTGATGAAGGCTCTGTCTGTGGGCCTGATCAAAGGGAACATTGATGAGGTGGACCAGAAGGTGCAGATGACCTGGGTGCAGCCCCGGGTGCTGGACCTGCAGCAGGTTAGTCCTTCTTCCCCTTTTATTTTGATATTATCATATTATATTTTGCTCTAGATGTGCAATTTCAAAACAACGCTACACAGTCGAAATTCAGACTCTGCGCATGTGTTCACAGGACATGGCAGTGCAGTAAGGGAATTATCAAAAATGGTGACACAGCAGCAGACAGTTTTTACCCTTGCAGCTGCAGGGAAATGATCAGAGAATTTAAAGCAGCTCTAAGACTTATTTTGTTCTAGTAAGGAGT